TTCTTGTGCCAGAGGGAGGGCTTCTCGGGCCAGAGGGAGGGCTTCTTGTGCCAGAGGGAGGGCTTCTCGGGCCAGAGCTGGTCTGAAGGCCGCCCGTTATCGACTACTGCCATATTGCTTGTACGAGTAAGAGGCACGTACTGTCACTCAAGCCTTCGTTCCAGAGAAGACTTTATGTCTAGGGGGATACACATGTTAGTGAACTCGCGAATGTGGTAATCGCCCTCAGGGCGTTCCCCATTCGTGTCGGTGCAATTCTTGGCTTTTTCACGCCTTGATGGATGGTTCCCTTTTCCAAAATACGCTTAAGCCTTTCTCGCAGCAAGTTTCATTTTATGAGCATCGAGTGCACAAAAAATGTGACGTTTAATGAACGTCATGCTCATAAATAGAGTACTCAAGTAGTATCTAATGATATGAATGTGTGTGTTCTCCCACCTATTGCAATTATGAGCCATGAAAGATATGGTACACGAATGACCTAACTGCCTCCGACCGGATGCAACGATTCGAACAGAACGGAGTGCTCCATTATTAAGAACCATGTGTGCTTTTAAACTGCTTTAGAAATAAATAAAAAAGCACAGCATGAGATATTGGACAACCGACATATTAAATTCCAGCACACATAGAAGAAGTAAGGTACTCGCCCGGCACCTTCCCCAAAGGTGCTCGCTCGGCCCAAGCACCGCAACGAATGCCAGTCCCTCCAGCAGGGACGAACCTCCACGACCCTGCAGGAGGTCCCAGGGGCGGCTCATTGGTTCCCTGTTGGCTCGGGACCGAAATGACTCATTTTGAACGCTTTAACGCGGCCGTGTTCGTCTCTTTTGATCGACCCGTCCATGCGAATCCGATGCAGCGGAAGTGTCGAGGCGTACTAAATCCGTATCTCCTTGATGCCTAGACGTGCTGCCCGGAGGAGCGTCCACGGAGCCACAAAGCAAAACAGATACTCCTAAAAAAGAAACCCGTGGGTAACTTGTCGGCTGAAAATGAGCCCGCGCAACTTGGACTAGACACCCCCACGGGTTAGACGCGGAAGCCTTCGGCCGCTCGGCCTCTGAACCCATCTCATTTTGTCTCCTTATTGACAATGACGTTGCCCTGGACTGAGTCCTGCTTGGACGAATTGCTCGTTGTCCTTTAAAAACGACTATATCCTGCAACTTGTTTGCCAGAGGGTAGCTTGACGCGTTGGCTACATCGTGGACCCAATGGGACTCGGTGCGTCGTTTCCCCGAGGCTACTTAGGTCCGATGGGACCAACTCTGAAGGCTTCACCTTGGAAGCTCCTACAGCCTGAAGGTCCCACGATCGGTACCGGAATATAATTTCTTGAAAGTATTCGCGATGGAAATTAACCCTTTCAGACCTGAATTAAGGTGGGTATAGGAATGATATCCTTTTTTGTTTGCATTTTTGAGCTTTTTCGTGGTTGTAATTGAAATTTTCATGCTTTATATGTCGTTTCCACATTTTGTATAAATTTACCATATCATACCATATATTATATATTAAACATTTAATTAAATAACGGAAGATGAAAAAACTAATGGGCGAAAGAAGGCCTTTGGTAGAACCGAGCCATGCATAATTACGCCCATTTTAGCGTAATCTGGAGCGCAAAGTCACCAGAATCCTAAAAAAAATTTCCATAGACACAATGTAAATGCAACGTCCATTGGAATGGACGCCAGGTCTGAAAGGATTAACATGTCTTATACATAGTTATTTTAAAAAAGCAAAAAAATGCTTCTGGTCTGGAGGGAAAAGGCCGCCCAATACCCCTTTGCAGCAACGCGTTAAAATAAAATACCCCTTTCCTTAGGGAAACGCCTTATCAACATCGAGGAGAGGGGAGGGGGGGGGGGGGGGGGGGGGGGGATGATTTCCCCCTCGAGTGACGTAACCTCGCTCTCGACGGGGAGTAAAAACCATTCGGGGGCTTCAACAATGGCCCTATTCAAGGTGAATTATGCGTCGGCTCACTGGTCCGATTAATGGGCCTCCCCGTACAATAGGCCGAGAGTTAAAAACCGCTTATGAATGTCCGGATAATAGACTCGCACCACTTGGCTTCCTATGGTCAAGTAGGGCTCTGTACACATCCCGTCTGTTCGGGCGTCGGCCTGCCGCCAGCATCCGAAAGGGTCACCTCCCGAAGGGACGCATTACCTCCCCCGTTTTCTTTTCCACAAAAACGTTCATTTGAAAGTCATATTGCGGAGGCTCGTAATGAGAGGCCCAGTTCCCGACATTTTCTCTCCCTGATCTCATCGACTCCCTGAACCCCATGAGACCGAAACGATGCCGAGAAGGCCGACAAAACATGTCAGGTCCCGAGCATTCTAATGCTGCCCATCGCGGTCGCGTGGAAGCTTTACTCTTAACTGCCGAAGTTTTCTCCGGTCTAAGTGCCCATGACCCCCGTGCAATCCAAGAGTTCCTCCACTTCCATCGACGATCCATCAATTCATTAACCCAATGATTATATGAACCTCTGACAAAGGACTTTGGCCATGGGATGCGGTTCCCCATCCTCCGCAACTCGGCAGCGCTATCCAGCCGAGCAGGGAATATCCTGCGAGCATAAAGCAGGAAACGAAGGCTTAAACGGCGGCTCATCAGAAGTCGGATGCGTAGATGAAGGAGAGGAACAAGGAGGAGGAGGAGAAGAAGACACTAACCGTTGATTGTAGGCAATTTTGGGAGCGAGTACATTCGATCGGGAGGCAGCCAATGGGAGACGAGGATGGGAGCAATCGCTTGAGAGCGGGTCCAACCAATGGCGTCGTGGGAAGTGGGCGTTCCCCGAGTTAAACATGATTGTTGTCCCCTCCCACCAAAAACTGCGAAGTGCTGAATCGACACATCAAGGTTCCTATATCTTCTGGCGACTGTAGAGCAGTGCAGGTGCAGTCTCGTGGCTCCAGAGGAAGAACTTTATCAATCCCTCTCGTCCGAACCGGATGCAATTGGAGCGGGAGAGTCCGACGCAGATCGTGGATCTCACTATGGCGAACCATCGGCGCTCCTCTTCCCCGGAAGATTTACAATCCACCCGAGAGACGTCTTCTCCGTCGGCACCTGATTCCCCCTTGAACGACAGTGTCAAAAGCGGAAACAATCCATTCTCGATCCGCAACATATTGGCCCGGAGCAAACCCGCGACGGAGAGGACCCCGACGGGGCTAATTCGGCTGCCCCCCTCCCCGCCGGAGTCGGTTCTCATGTCCCAGAGATACCCGACCGTCTTCGATCTTCAGTCTTCGCTGCTTCGACTGTATGCCGATGGGCACTTTGCTGCATCCGCTGCCATGGCTGCAGCAGCCGCGGCTGCAGTTTCGCCGACTTTCTTGCCCTGGTACCCCATGGCGCCCATCGTCCCCACTTCAAGTCTCGCACAAGGTGAGTGGATCAGTCGCGATCGGGTCAGACGTCGGCTAAGGGAAACGGGGATGGCTTTAATTCGTTCAAATCGCGACTTGCCATGTCTTCGCCGCTTCAGGCTAATTTGGTGATAAGAAGTTTAAAAGCAGGATTTCCAGATTGTCCCAAATGCAAGAAAATTTGATCGGGGAGGGGGAAGGGTAAAGTAATCAATGCAAGCAATCAGGTGATTAAAAAAAATCAGTTGAAAAAACCGGTCGAGGGAGGGACCGGACATGGATAAACAAGATAGCAAGATTAGATAGGGAAGGGTAGACCAATTTCAAAGGCGAACAGAGTATAATACGCTTAGACCTCATTACGGACACATTACACGCGTAGAAGTAAAGCTGCATCTAATTCGAGTGATCCAGTAATGAGGCAGTTAAATACCGATAAACCGCCACGGACTTGATGCGGGTCAAGTCGGTGGCGGTTTGTCTCGTTTGATCGCAAGTCGGTCTCCCTGACATCTGGTGTCTGGTGGTGCACGTGGAGCTGCTGCCATGTGGCCGCCGCGGGGGGAAAGAGTCGCACGAGGAATTTCGCGTCTGAGCGCGAGATTCTGTATCAGCGAAAGAATCCGCAAGATATGTTCTCACTCGCCTCTAAGGGGAAGCAGGTGTGCAGTCAGACAGATTTTGCTAGTTCATCATACTAGGGCGAGAGAGTGGACAATTAAAAATAAAAGCCTGAAGAAGCGTATGAAAATTCGCGAATCGCCGAGTTAAAAAAAAATTATATCCTTGCCTCTCCCGAAAATCATTAAATCTAGCAACCCCGGCTGAATATGTTACCATAGGGGAGGGGTTACCATAGGCTGCTAGAGTGCAAGAATACCCGTCACAATTACCGGAAGAGGGAATGGGACTGGTATGTTTCACAATTCTGCGAGTCAAGGGGGACACACCCGATGATCCCCCCCGGACTTCACCTGCCACTTTCCCTCGTTAAGCATACGGTTTCGCACTCGTCCAACTGCCATACGACGTGCTAATGATATCCTTCGCTTGTCTTTGTCAATCCGCGGTTTGAACGGATAGGTAATACCATCTAGGTAACAATCTAGGCATCTCGTGTAGATATTTGCACAGACCGCAATTCGAATCAGAGAGTTCTCCTTCCTGCTCTGTCACCTCAACTTGAATGGAAAGAAACGGATTCTCTTAAGCTCCTGGTCGGCACGACAGCTTCCTGAGTCTTTTTTACTGGCCCCGTTTTATATTACAGTTCAAGATTATTGGATACTGTCGAATGAATCCCAGTTGATCCTGACACGAACCTCTGAGAGTTCTATCTATTCAGTAGATTACATTGTGACCTACGGTTTATCCTTTCCCCGAGAGGCATAAGTGGTTCTTAGCAAACTCACAAGAGCCACAATCTATGAGATATACATCGATTGCAGCACTCGATTGTGAATTTCACGTCGCATTCCCGTGAAAAAAGTCCCCGAGAGAGAAGAATTTCTTCTTTATGAATGGCTGAATGAATGACTGTCTTGGGGTATTTTAGGAGGGAGTGAGGTGAAGCAAGCATTGGGTAGCGGGAAATACCCGGGAAAGCCGATGTCGACCTTGAACCACGATTCTCCTCGGCCCAGAAGCCCCGAGAATGACAACCAAGGAGGCGGGAAGAAGGAACTCCTCCTAACCTCTCTTCATCATCATCATCATCATCATCATTCACTGGAGAAAGAGAAGGCCCGGGATAAGGACGATAAAGATTCGGAGGGAGAGAAGAAAGTGAACGGCCGGAAGAAAAAGAAGACCCGGACGGTGTTCTCTCGCAGTCAGGTCTTCCAACTGGAGTCCACGTTCGACATGAAACGGTACCTGTCGAGCTCGGAACGGGCAGGTCTGGCTGCTTCCTTGCACCTCACTGAGACCCAGGTAAAGATCTGGTTCCAAAACCGACGGAACAAGTGGAAGCGTCAGATCGCGGCAGAACTGGAGGCGGCAAACTTGGCACAAGGATCCCAACGTCTGGTCCGAGTCCCCATTCTCTACCACGAAGGGAATGCGGGGCCCACTGGGACCACGGCTACCCCTCCATCCCCTCCTCCACCACTTCCCGCAGTTCCCTCTTGTACGAATTCCCCATTCCCCCAGCTGTACTTCCCATCTCCTGTTACCAGTGTATCTTCGCCTGGTGGGATCCACCATAGTGTTTGAGGCTAGAACGACTTCGACGGGGTCTCGATCGTACGCTTATGGACCGCGGCCGTGCGACAGCTCTTCGCCAGACGGAAAAAAAAGTTATTTATGTCTGAAATTATATATCATCTTGTCCTCTCGTGAATCTGGATGCTGCCTATTCTCTCCATGCAGCATATGGTTCATGCTTGATTCTCGATGATACTTGAACGTGAGAATAAACTAGTCAAAGAATTGGGTCGCAGCCGTCATTAATTCCGATCGGAAAAAACGTAATACGTGCCCAGGTGACACGAGAACTTTGGAGAAATGCAAATTACAGCGGAGCAATCCAAAAACTGTAATTTTTCAACTGATCGGTTGAAAAGCTTGCCTGAAATCATCGTTATTAAACATGAGGTGAATACAAATGTATTCATGGATCAACTCCAGATCCAGGACGATAAGCCAACTCACTCATGGATTCACTCTAGTAAAATGAGATAATCAAATCCATCTCCAAATTTATCAGGAAATCCTCAAAGGGTCAATCGAACAGATGTGCTAAAGCGAAACTTGAACCCACTTTCGAGTCCTGCCCCGGCAAGTTTCAAAGGTAATCTCTCACATGGTCCAGGATTTCCCGTTAGATACTCGAGAATCTCTCTCTTGAAGTCGGAGAAATCCAAGCCAGGTAAGAATCGTGCTTGGGAATAATCATTTCTCATTATTTATCATTAAAGTTATTTTATTTACAGCTTGATAAAGTTCTAGCTTGATGATTTTAACGTTTGAGTCGGGACACAAAGGGGGATTTTCGTCCATATTGACATTCCGACTTGGGGTCGATCGCTCGTTTAAGGTAGGACTAGTTAAGATTTAAGATATTTAAGTTTTAAGATAATATACATAATATATATGTAAGATATATATCCACATCTCCAGGCTCTGCGAGAGTACGAGGTGTGGTAAAAAAAAAAGAAGTTACCATGGATTTTTAAATACAAATTATTCCTAAATGGTAGAGAGATATAATAACTGCCTCAGAGTGTTGTACCTCTTTCCCCTTTCCACGGTAATATGATGATACCTACCGATTAAAGTAATTTGCCTGTTTGCCAACCTTAAAGCCACTTAACGGTCAGATACAGACAAATTATTCTACTGGTCAGGATGCTGTGGGTTCGATTATTTCTGTGTGGCATATTTACGAATAAAAATTTGCTGCTGTCAAATGTGGATAAACATATGCAATCTGGGGGTTCAAAAGTTTCGAGGCAAGAAAAATGCTGAAAAATGAGCTAGTTTTGCACACTGGCATAGTGTTCAACGAAGGAATAAATAATGATGGCGCTTTTTTTTACTGCACCTTCTGATGATCATTTTGGTCATTATGGACTCGAATTCCAGTATTTCTCTTGACATTTCGTCATTTGGAAGGCAGAAAACGGTTAATCGGCGACCCATATTCGTGCTGGAGTTCCCAGCACAAATAATGAATTAATTAGAGCAGTACCTTAATTATTTAAGGCAAGGCATCGCGTTAATTAATCAGGGTAGCATATGGTCATAGATGCTTAGCATTTCAAACGACTTAAAACAAACATCCTGAACCACTGCTTTTTTTCTGCGGTCTCTTGCGTTTCCCGTGCTTGGAAATGGAAAATAAATTTCTCTTTCCCTGTTAAAATATGGCAAAGGCCGCGAGAGAAGACAAAAAAATTTGCACATGAAATCTCCGTAAGCCTTGCAGGTCTGTAATCGAAGCCCCCTATTTTCATCCGTAATATAGCTTCAATTTCAAACCTGCCCACCGATACCAAGGTACGTTGATGAACTTGAGATTCTTCTGACATCTTGAGATTCCGATCGCTACCTTCCACATTTCATTTTGTTTCGGAGAGAAACGGAGACGACGTTTCCGAAAATGGCATTTCGATGCGGGGAACATTTGTCTCCGACTGCAGTGCAGTCCCCGTGGACGTAAGCAGACTCCAACTTGCCAGAACGCCCATGGCTTTTCACCAATCCTGCCAGGAGCCTTCTTAAGCCAGGAGCCTTCTCTTAACAAAGCCGGGAACGAGTCACAAGCTATTAAGAACGGGTAGCGAAAGTGGTCTTCGAGCGTGAATAGGCAGTAGGCACGCGCTGCCATTAAAAGCATCCACCTTCCAGACTTACACGGTTTAGACCGAGAGGACGTTAGGAGGAGCACTCGAGAGTGACTCGGGGTCTAATACGAGCAGAGATGCCCCTTCACGTTCCCCTTTCGAAACCTTGTTCCCGCCGGATGTGTGGAGGTGTTGTCATATAGGCAGTCTGAGATGATTGAAGCAAGTCAGAAGAAGCATCTCCTCAATAGAGCTGTGCAATGATGCTCCCCCCTCGCTCCCTTTTCCGTCTCTAACCTGCAAATTATCGTGTCTGACGAGTTTTGCCGACGTGGATCGAAGTCCCTCATTATAATGCATCGAAAGTCGACAACATTGCATTGGACAATGCATTGCAAGTGTTTCTTCCCTCGAGAAGAAATCCTTGCGATCCATTATTGGATGGCTACGAGCAAAAATTTAATTTCCCCGTCGAGGAACAAGAGTAGAAGTTTTCATCAGCCGAAAATGTGAAAGCAGGTCACCATTCTGATGTCCCGAGTCTGGCCTTGAGGCTCATCTAAGATCATCGCAATTGGGATTTACGATGGCTGGCAAGTGAAGACGTGATGTAGTTCTGTTTTTGAGTTGGACGGTCTGGATATTGGAAAAGTCCAGCTCCACCATACCAGAAAGGTTTCGTTATTTTCGCGAAATGCTTTCACGTCTTCTCGGTCGACCGAAAGTAACATTTAACTCACTTTTTAAAAAAAGTTTCCAGCACGTCAGCGGGGTCCCCATCGTTGTCCAGGAGTAGCTGCAGATGTCACCAGGTTCTTTTGTGATGCCTTACGAAACGTGCTTGAAATTGTTGATGTCTGCAAATGCTAAATATTTATCTTCGCTAACGACGACGCTCAATTGTTACAGGTCGTGAGGTCAGGGCTTCAAGCTGCAATTCTGTCATGAAATCGAGCCTCTCTGCCATCTCAGGAACGGGACCACGTGTAGCAACCAAATGCACATCCGGGACATTTCTGAAAGAGGAAAGGAAACACCGAAATGGGAACGGAAGTTCTCAAAAGGGAAACGGAAGTCGTCGAGAGAGCTTAGTGACTTCGAGAGGGGAGCAGAAAACGCAGAACAATCGCAATTAGCTTGATTTATACTTACCTAACTGGCTACGTAAATGAATGAGTCAATTAACTTCTATTCTTGCGGGGTTTTTCTCCAACGTAATATATTTTTCCATAGGTTTCTGGGGAATCTTCAACAAGCACGCAGAATTCGCCTGGGAAGCTGTTGTCTATTGATGCCGTAATGTTTGTACAGGACAGCGAAGGACCAGATTTCCACTTTCTGGCCGAGAACGAAACTGGAACCAGAAAAAAATCTCAGTCACCCCACGAGGGGTAGGGTGCGGTGGGATCCTTGAAAATGATGAGAGAGACGAAAGAGCGACGGCGTTCGCATGGCCTCTTGAATGAGGCAGGGATTTACACTTGCGGGGTCCAGGTAAAAGAAAGGTGTGTGTGTGCGCCTCGGCCATTGTGCGAGGAATGAAAAGGGGGACGAGCGACGCCCGGGGGAGCAGCTGGTCGGTGCCGTGCGATCTGTGTCATCCGTGTGACATGGAGAGCCCCCGGATTTTGTGTCGGCCGTTTCGGCGAAGAAAGGCGCATTACTTACGCCAGGTTGCCTCTAGAGAGGGACTTGGGAAAACATTTGTAATCCGGGGTCAAGCGATCTCTCCTCCGGGGATTAGCTGGTAATCCCCACACCCAGCGGGGCGTCAGCGCATGGAGATGCAACCCAAGAGTTCTCCTCCAATTACGCGTGAAAGCTTTCCCATTAACGCTACGGCCCGGGATTCTCTTTCGAGAGAGGAACGGGACAACTGCCTCTTCTCTCTCTCTCTCTCTCTCTCTCTCTGTGCTCCTTCCTAATCTTCCGAACGGTTTCGTCTGAGGGCTTTTACGTTAAGGGGTTCCTGCGCCTCGAGAGCGGGAGACGAGGTTGGCCGAGGGTCTTGCGGGCAATGCTCATTGCAGGCTGCGCTTTCTTTCCTTTTCCTCAAGCGTAAGATGAGGCCTAACGTGATCTCTCATTCGCGCCTTTGTTCTCATCCCACGTAAAAATTCTAAGAAAAGCAATTCTCTAATGATAATCACTGCATCCGCGAATCGTCGGGAGTCGGAGCAGCGCCTCCAACGGTTCGCGCGGGACCCGGACTTCCAGCTCATGCACCCATAAACAACCCCTTTAGTTAAGAATGGGAAGAAGAGGGAAAGAAGACAAGATAGGGTGAGAGTGAGAGTTCTTGGAAAATAGAAGAGGGAAGAGACAGGATGGGATTAAGAGCCTTGTTGTCGATGTTCAAAAGGGGAACAGATGGTATGGTCCTCCCAAGTGTAATTACAACCAGATTAACTTTCCCCCGGTCTATCTGATGCTTCACCTCGCTCGGGCGTCGTCTCTGTCTCCCGCTCTCCGCCTTTGTCCTTCGGGGCTCTATTCTCCCGATTGGAGCCACTTCGGCAAGAGTCGATGAATGAGTTTTCGATTGAAAGGGATCGATCACGATTCTTCTCGTGCCCGCGAGACCCTCACTCAGTCTGCCTCACTTTGAAGAGTCCAATCAACAAATGGGACTCGTGTTGACGGAGTTTCCTCATACCTCGCCCTCGATCGTACCCTCTTCCCCCCCGTTAATAAATTGAATCTCGGTGCTTAGCATGTTTTTCGCGGATGACGCGATCCCCCTCGTTGTCGGTCTCACACGGGGGGAGGGGGAAAAGCTGTCGAGGCTATAATCTTCGTTTCATCCGGATCGCAGAGCGAAAGAGGAGATAAAAAAAACAAAGGGGGAAAGAAATGAGGAGAAGAGCTAAGTGTATCGAGTGGCACGAATCCGTAATCGAGAATGGAGATGATTAATAGATGAGTCCC